ATCCCCGACCGACAATCTCTGACTCCCCTCATCCACCTCTCATCACTCACTGATTGTGATCCCACACTCCTCTCCCTCTGTCAGTCGGGCTATCCTCCATCGCCGGCTTAACAGGTTCACAGTGCTGTGCCCTCCAGGCGGTAAAAGCAGCAAGGCTTCTGGGGACTCGGGTGCCTGTCCCCGCCTGTGTCTGCCTGAAACTGACTGGGCACATCCAGATCACTTTGAAGTCCTGGACTTTCAGGTGCAACAGCGGCGGCGGCGGCAGCACCCCATCCATCCATCACCGTCCTCTTCCGCACCCCCCGCCGTCTTCAACTCACTCTAGTCCCCGGGAACTTCTCGTTCTTCTCCTCGACTTGTCTGCCTCCCCCGACAGCGGCCAATTTTTCAGGCCTTTCCCCACTGCTTCGCCTGAAGATCCCTCATTGTCGCCAACTTCAGAGCTTCTGCCCCCGTTATCGCAGCTGGTTCTGCCCGACTCCGGTTCTGCTGGCCTGGACCGCCAGTCTGGACTCTAGGCTGCCCACCCATCTCATTCTCTGCTCAGAACCTGACTTCAGACTCGACACCGAGGACGCTGAAAGCCTGCTCAAGCCGAGGCCCCCTCGTTTTCTTCTTCCCAAATCACGGGTACCTTCGGCCAAGTACCATGAACCCAGTCATCATCAGTGAGGTGGTCCTGCCAGGCACTGACGTGCTGAATTCTCGCCCATCACTGCCGCCCTTCTCACACTTCCATCGTTATCATGTCGGTCGTTCAGCAGCCATTAAGCCTCAGAAGGAATAAGTTGTAGTCTCGTCGGCAGTATCCGCTGAACCCCCGAGAAGTCCAGCACGGAGGGTTCCCCGCTCACTGACACCCAGCACCGAGCATCTCGGGTTGCGTGTTCCCATGTTCAGCAATGACAGCGAGCACCTCTAGTCGGCCGCCCGACAATTCATTCTGATTCTCGGGCAGTCTCAGTTCTCATGAGGCTTTTCCCCCAGCACCATTGGAGTAGCCGTCTTTTCCCCGCCGTCGCTTCAGCTGGTACACCCGCCACTTGTCTTCATGTCCGAACACTCTCAGGTCACCTTACCCAGTGTACTCTCTCGTCCACAAGAGACTGGGCTTATCCTCGGTACTTCCCTGTAATCCTCCGTCAACGCCCTTTGTGTCCGTACCTAGCTCCAGAAACCTGCCTGGTCGGCAACGGCTCGAGCTCTTCACCAGCCTGAAGCACCATCACCATCAGTGGTGTTGCTAATGACTCTGAACCAACTGTCTATCGGCCTGAGAGGTGTTCATGCGCTGGCAACCGCTGAAAAGCAGAAAGGGCCTGCTTGAAGCCAAATGCTCCCGTCAAGACTCACTGGGCACTTAGATAGTTTTCACAAGCAATGTGCCCTTGGCTATTGAAAGGCATCTCCCACAGCAGTCCTTTGGAGGCTTACAGCATCTAGTGGAATTCATTTACATTGACGCACTAAGAGTAAAGACCTGGTCGGACGCTTGGAACTTGGAGCACGATGCTGTCTTAATCCTTGATCGGTGCCTGTAATCCACGGGGCTTGGGCGGCTATGTTTTCTATGAAGCCCTTTTGAATGAGGTGTCGAAGATCCATTTACGCTATTGCTCTTCTCTTTCTCGGGAGGTGTAACCCCAAGAGGACAACCACATGGTGCTCGTCCACCACCGGCGTCCTGCCTGCGATAGTTCACGCAAGAGGCATAAGAAGCTCTCCTACGATATCTTGTCGACTAGCAGAGCTCACCCCATCCCCATATATTGAGGATAGCGTGACGGGTCTGTGATGACAGTCATGTCAACACACGAAGTAGACACAACACTCAAACATGTCGATGAACAGTATGTTCCTACACACCACGACCATTAAGTCAACGGGGTCTCCTTCATAATCGTGATCGCAGAATGGCTTTGAGCATGGTGTTGTTGTTGTTGTTGTAAAGCACCCATCGTGTACGGCTCACTGAGCCCAAACCGAAAATCCCATTGGGCCTTATAACTGATATCCAAGTGCCGTTCAGGGAAGCAAATAGGCTTCATGGCAAGGTACGTGGAACTCAGATCACTGGATCAAGTGTGAGATTGTTCTGATTCAATCTCTGTACTCCGAATCAATGAAAGATACGTAAGCCTTGGTATCGCGTGAAGTCACTAGAGATGCGGTTCCTGAAGAGTGAGGAATGGAGTTCTGTTGCTGCTGCACGTGATTGTTTGACACATGAACCTGAAAATTTACAGGTGGGTTGAGCAATGTTCATAATCATTTCACGGCGCATAAGGGACAATGTGAGTCTACGTTTGAATACCTACCTTAGTATATTGGCAGGTCTGATCAGAAGATGGCAGTGCGGACAGAACTATCCAGTTGCTTTGGGTGAGTTGCACCCCTGCGAAGCGTTGATCAACGGCCGCCAACGCGTGTTTCTCGCCTAATCATAACAAGTCAGACGCGACTCCGTAGACGTTCTGTAACGGCCTGTCTCATCCCACCTTGAGCAACCACAGAACAAGAGAACCAAAACCCATCAGGCGCACATCCCAAGGCACTGTCTCTATAGGTGGTTTTGCAAGATGTCTCATACTGTCTGCACAGTAGATGGCTAGATTCACCACTTGGTGAGTTTCCTCAACTCATCGACAGCTATTGCTCCTAGGAGAGCTATGGGTAGGTAGCTCAGTTCCCGCTTCCAAGGTGGTTTTTTTTTTTTTTTTTTTTTTTTTTTTTTTTAGCTATCAGAGCTTGAGGGAACAGTAAGTCTTCAGCATCATCACTGGGTGCCTTTGGTATCACTTCAGTGAATCGTATCAGGAGCAGAATGAGCAGAAGATGCACCATCGACAGTACCTAGGCTCTCAAGGAATCGGCGATGGACAGTCGTGACAGCGTTGCGCGACATGATTCCTCGTCCTACGCGCTATCGAAGATGAAAATGAGATGCAAGCAACAAGCTTCTGGTACGTAGGTACCGTGGAGCTGTCGCCAATAGAAAGGCCCAGAAAGCTGAGCGACCGTTCCACACTGGAAAGCTGAGCTTCAGCCCCGCACCCAAAAAGGATCCCCCCCCCCCCCCTCTCCTCTCCTTCAGGCTCCCCCGTGACACAAGTTCCCAAGAGTTTCCCTCATCCCTCATCCCCCGACCCCGCCGCCAGAAACCGGCCTGACCGCCAACCGTCTCATCCCGTTTTGAAACGAGGGTCCCCCCTCCCGGCCTCCCCATCGAAACTTGAGGTGACGACTGGCGTCTGGCAGAGGTGGAAGCAGCCACGGCCGGAGGCAGCCCAGGTCAGGCCAGTCGCCGATTTCGATTGGCAGCGGATCGGCCCCGGTGAGGAGCCTCCACCCAGATGCTAAAAGGCGACGTGGAATAGTGAAGGGTAGTGTAGCGGAGTACGGATAGTAAAGCATTCCAGCAATTTTCAAGTCGTGCGATGCCTACGACTATTCTCAGTGCAATGACTTCGCCTCAGTTTGTTGCTTAGTTCCTCGCCTTCCCAGCGCTTGCCAAAGGGAACAGCCAGATTGCCTGCCCGGTGTCCCATCTGATCAGGGCATGCGAGTGTGATTTTGCAATGTTAAGCATTCATATTCACTCTAGTATTGGGAAATACCCGTGAAAAGTGATGTGTATTCGTACTCATATTCGTCTGTATGGATCCCCTCCCAAATCGTCGCCAAGGATCTGGACAAGGCCGCAGCTTCCAATTCCCACTTCACTCAACGTTATATGCGCCTGCTCAAGCAACGGCTCCTCCCAGTTCAAGACCCAGGGAGAAAAACTTCGTGTCGGTGAAGGCTGCGTCATAATTCATTGCACCTTATTGCAGACGTCCGAACTTTTACTCTTCTTCCTTCAATTCAGATACTCGACCATACCCAACATTGACAAGAAGAAGAGAAACATCGGATATCCAAATCACCAGCCAAAAAAAATAACCGCATCCTCCATCGCCGCCGCAGGTTTATTTTCAGCTGGCCAAGGTCTTGCCTGACGCGCGCCCACACCCGCACCCGCACGTCGGACAGTTAGCACCACCGTGAACCAGGCCTCCCGAAAGGACCGGCGATCAAGCTACCCAACTACCTTACCTTACCGAATCGAATCCACACAGCTGCGTTGAGCTTGATGCAGACCCCTGCCCCATCCGACCTGGCTTTCTTCTGTCACCGATACTTTACTCTTGTACGTGTCCACCACCCATTTCCCAGGTACCCCGAACCATCTTCCTAACTCCCAACCCATGGCGCTACTGGCAACCGTCCCCCTGTCTCTGATTCGAGCTCCCAATCGGCATCCGCAAGCCCCTCCATCACTGCCCACTGGCATTGGTGGGGGAAGCTCTTGGCAGCAGCTATCGCGCAGTAGTATGATGCCATGGCACCTGGGGGCTTGGACCACAAACCACCGCAAAACACGCTGCGAACAGAAGACGGGAACCAAGGTGGGAGGGACGTGTGTGTGTGTGAGGGAGGGGCAGTGACAAGTTGAAGCCTTAGATGGCGGATTGGACTGGGCTGGTCAAGATTGGATGGGGAGACAGTCACACAGCATTCACATACGTGAGTGAGTGAGTGTATATGGTGCTTGGTCTTGATTCCAAGGTTGTCTGTCGGCGCCCTCCTCTTCACTCGAGCCACCTCCTGTTCCTGGCTTCTGATAGCTCCAACAAGTTCCTGTTCCAGTCCCCTCCCCCATGCTCCCGAAGCTTGGAAGAACGCAGTTACGCCGTCGTGTTGCCCCTCCACCGCCTCCAGCCCTCGTCAAAAGCCCCTCCTTTTCTTTACTGCCCCTTGCTTGTGTCATATCTCTCTCCTTATTTCAATGACCTCCCCCTCCCTCCCGTCATCATAATTTTGTTTTGCTTCTGCGCAAACCCCACTTCACCTTGACCGAGTCACTAAACAGTCTCTACAGACTTACAACAAATAAACACTACTGAATATCAGAAGAGGAGAGAGAAGAGCAGCACGAGAGGTACAAGTCAATCAACATGCTCGACGCCAGGTCCTACCCGCTGCTGGTCGGCCTGCTTGTGCTGGTCTGCCTTGCCCAGCCAACCTACGCCTTTGGAGCTGGTAACATTGCCAGCATTTCCAAGGTCGAGGGTCAGAACTGTGAGCTTCTTCCCTTCCACCCGCCATTGTCTGATAGTTGGAGAGGATTCGCTAACTCTCCTGTCACACAGGGCGCCACGGCGATATTGAAGATGCCCTCCTTACCCTTGCCATGGCCCGCGCCATCGGCGGCAAGAAGTTCAGCAAGATGATGGTTTCCCGTGTCTACTTTGGCAACTGGCTCAGAGATTACTCCCAGGCCATCGATGTCGGAACCGTCAAGTCCGTCTCCGCCGAGGCCATTCGTCTCCTTCTTTGTGTCTTGGGTTTCTTGACCTTTGGCTACGGATCCAAGGAGTTCGAGGTCACGGCCGACCGTCTTGGCTGCTACCGCCCCGAAGACCACATCGACAACCCCAAGAACTATGCCGACAATGTGGATGCCCGCCAGTATGACCGCCGTCTGAGAGGCCCCGTTGACGAGAACGTCGAGCTTGGGATTGACCGCGAGTCCGGCATGAAGAACTACATTGCGAACGAGCAGGCTGGAATCATGACTTCTGCCGCCCACATTCGCAACCTGTTCGCCCGCTGCATCGAGCTTGCCCGAGGATACTCCCGCAATAAGAATGAGGCTGATCTCTACGAGGCCATGCGCCTCATGGGTACCGGTCTTCACTGCTTGGAGGGTGCGTAACTCAATCCCACGATGAATGAATCCACCAGGAAATATCGCTAACGAGGTGTGGTACAGATTTCTTCGCCCACAGCAACTACTGCGAGCTTGCCTTGATTGAGCTTGGCGAGCGCGACGTCTTTCCCCACGTTGGCCGCGACACTCAGATTCAGCTGAACGGAGCTAGAGGCGATGTTTACCCGATTGTCACCGGCACCTTTGGTGGTGTTGACTTCCTTCACTCCGTCACTGGCGAAGGTACGTACCATTGAAATACTCAACACAAGATCACAGCTAACAGTACCAGTCTCCGACAAGCTGACCCAGAACGAGATTGAGGAGCTCGAGGGTACTCTCCAGGAGAGCAAGAACAACGATACCAGCATTCTGCGTAACCTTCTGGACATGATCCCCGACGGTATCTTTGGTGGTAAGCACCAGAGCAACCGGGTGGACGAGCTACAGAGCAACGCGACCTCGTCGCAGCTCCAGAACATGCAGGTCTCTCCCAGGGAGCCTGAGGAGTACACCCGCTACATCCAGGATGTTTTCAAGCAAATTATGCCTGCCATCGAGTTCCACGACGAGATCTTGCAGGGTATCTCTGAGGCCATTGAGAAGATTCCCGTTCTGCCCAAGATTCTTGAGCAGCTTGAGGAGCAGCTGTCCAAATTTGTCTTCTCAGTCATCGCCCCCTTCATTATTCCCGTCATCAGCCAGATCCGCAACGAGCTGCGCACTGGTTCCGCTGAGATTATCGAGAGCAGTGAGAAGGAGCAGCACGTCGTCTTTGACGATGACCGTAGCACTGATCCTACCCACTCCATGTTGTCCAAGGACCACTTCACCAACGTAAGGAAAACATCATAAAGTAGGCAAGATTGTTGGCTAATACTGGGATAGATCTTGAACGAGGTTGCTGGCCGTTGCGCTGCCAAGACTCTCCACTGGGTTGTGCCCCAGCTCATGGAGGCCATTGATAACGACAGTGTTGATGTTAACCGCACCTTGAACCGCATTATCTTTGGCGTTCTGCACCACCCTGCACAACGTGATATGGGAGATGACGGCGCTCGTGAGGGCCGTCAGCAAATCTTCCAGTTCTTTGAGGAGTGGTGGAACAACATGGACAGAAGCCAGCAGGATGACTACCGCCGCAAGCTCAGCCGCGAGGGTGTTCAGCGCGGTGAGAACCACAGAGAGGGTGTCCACGACACTGGACACGGCCACGGCTGCAGCGGAAAGCTTCACATGCGCAAGCAGTTCGGCGAGCCCAAGAACTGGGAAGACAAGGTTGCCGACCAAGCTGCCGGCGCCATTCTCGAGGGCGCTTCCGGTGCCATCGCAAACCTTGTTGGTCAGCAGACTGGGGTTAAGGTCCCCAAGTACAAGCATCAGCAAGAAGAGGAGGAGAGCGGTGGTGGCGGCGGCGGCGCCGGTGGTCTCATCGGATCTATTCTCGGAGGTGTCTTCAAGAAGGACGAGACGGAGACACAGCACAGCAGCCGCCGTGATGACGATGGTGGCTACACCCAGACTACGACTGAGTACGGTCACCACGGAAACAAGTATGGCCAGGCCGAGTACAGCGAGACCCAGTACCCCGGTGGCGGCAGCCGTACCGAGTACCGCAAGTATGAGCAGGAAGACAGCTCTGGCGGACGCCGTACCAGTGGCCGCGAGTACGAGGAAACCACCGAATCCCGTCCCTCTTACGGCGGTGGCTATGAGCAGCGCACCGAGACTCACCGCTACGAGGGTAACACCCAGTCTGGCTTCAGTGGTGGCCGACGTGACGACAACGACGGCTACGGCGGCCGTCGTCAAGAGGAGAGCAACTACGGTGGCGGCGGCGGCTATGGCGGCGGTAGACGCGATGATAACGAGGGCGGCTACGGCGGTGGCCGCCGTCAGGAGGAGAGCAGCTATGGCCGCCAAGAGCAGAGCTACGGTGGTGGTGGTGGTGGACGTCGTCATGACGAGGGCGGCTATGGTGGCGGCGGTGGTGGTTACGGAGGTGGCCGCCGCGAAGATGAGGGTGGCTACGGCGGTGGACGTCGCCACGACGAGGGTGGATATGGTGGCGGCGGTGGTGGCTACGGAGGTGGCCGTCGTGAAGACGAGGGCGGCTACGGCGGTGGTAGACGCGACGACAACGAGGGCGGCGGCTATGGACGCCAGGAAGAGCACCACGGTCGTCGCCGTGACGATGACGACGAGCGCCGCGAGGGCGGCGGCGGCGGCTTTGGCGATTTCATTGGCAAGGTCGCTGAGCAGTTTGGCGACAACAACAACAACAACAACAACAACAACAACAACAATAACCGCAGATGGTAGGATCGCTGCGGCTGTTTTTCTTGATTCTTGGCAAAGATTGCTGCCGGTTGTGTTCTGGTAGATGATGACGACTGGCTTATGAACAGGGGTAGCTTGGGGATTCAAAGCTACGGATACAGGTTTAACGAAGAACAATAACAAAAAGTCTTGCTTCTAATTATGAGACCAAACGTTTTGTGTGTGTCATGTGATATAAAGGTTACAGGGCGAGAATCAAAATGTGTCAATGATATTGAACATGTAAACGAATTGCTGGTTCTGGGCATCAGTCTTCTACTATAGTTGACAAATTTGGGTAATGAGACGACTTGGAAGTCAACCATTTATCACGGCTTTCAAGTGCCGTGACTTCCCACCCCCTACGCATAAACTAAGAACGGGACAGTTGAGCCGGACAAATCTCTTGCCACATGGAGAAGGGAGGACATGGCAGACACGTTCCGAATGTGACTCTGTTCCCGTTCTACCCCCCCCCCCCTTTGCCTAGTGTCCAGATAAGACGACGGCACGGCAGCCATCACCAGCGGACGGGTTTTGCGGGGGGAAAGAGTCGTAGTAGACGTAGTCGACCTGATTTAGAGCCGGAACGTGTGGCCCGCAATACCGAGAGCATTTATTACTCTTCTTGTACGATCGAACTCCCTCCAGAGTGAAGTAGATGGTGAGGTGGAAGATTCTATGCTGATGAATTAGATGAGGTGATTTGAAAGTACAGAAAACTTGGCAGGGGTTTCGATGAGAGAGTTTGGTCTTGTAGTTTTGGTTTCTGGTAGATTGATTGAAACTTTTTTTTGTTGTTTTTTTCCCCCCGTCCTCCCCGTCTGGCCGACTACACGCAACATTAGAAAAGTCTAGAGGGGCAAATGATGGGGGGGGGGGGGATCATCGTTGTTCTTTTGGTACGGTTAAATTTGGGTAAATGTTAATTTTTAACCTTTGATCCCGCTCTTTTCCTTTGACTTCAACCCCTTGATAATAACGTACCATGCGAACGAGAGAGGAAAGCACGGAGGAGAAAGAGTGGAAGAATCGGGAACCTTTAACATGGTAACGAACGGCGCGGATGCGAGGTCTCCTTCTCTGGTGTTGTATATATTGTGTCCTACCCATTTTCCCGTCATTAGCCAGAGAATGGTACCTCTTTGAACTATACGATGTACGATATTTGATATACAAACTCATCACCTCTGTTGTTGGATCTATTCTACAATATCTCATTCAGCCCGTATATAAATCTCACCATAACGCCCACGAAAATTCAACAGAACTTCGGAAAGTTCGTCGCACATCTCGTCGCATACCACGAAGAAACTATATACAGCCCCTACTTACAGATATCCAAACCCAAGTCTTAGACTTTACCTCTCCCCCCCCAAAAAAGAAGAAAAAAGATGCACCTAACATCCTCCCCCCTCACCTTCCTCCTCCTCCCCTTCCTCCTCCTCTCCCCACAAACAAACGCCCAATCCACAGGCACAGGAACGACAACACGCTACTGGGACTGCTGTAAACCCTCCTGCGCTTGGCCAGGCAAAATCCCAACCTCCTCCCTCGCCGTCGGTCCCGTAACGACCTGCGACCGCAACGACAACCCCTTGTCGGACGGCGGCGCCACGCGCAGCGGGTGCGACTCTGGCGGCGGAGCGTACATGTGCAGCGCCCAATCGCCCTGGGCCGTCTCGGACGATTTGGCCTACGGCTTCGCCGCCGTGCGGATCTCGGGCGGTAACGAAGCGCAGTGGTGCTGTGCTTGTTACGAGCTGAGTTTCACGAGCGGTGCTGTGGCGGGGAAGAAGATGGTTGTGCAGGCTACCAATACGGGTGGTGATTTGGGGCAGAATCATTTTGATATTGCGGTGAGTTTTTCTTTATTTTCTCTGTTTTTTCTCTTTCCTTTCCCCCCCCTCCTGGTTACCCATCACTCGCCCCGATTCCTCCCTACAGGAGATTATCAAATATGTTGGAAACTGTCGGATACGTAGGAGGAGACGGGGAGAATATCATCAACGCTTCCTGACCGGGGTGACTAGTTCTATTACGAAACCCCCACTTACAGGAGGGAAATAATATGTTGAAGCCGAAGCGCCGTTATGCGGCAGGGAGATATAAAGAATTGTCTACCTCTGGAATACAGAACACCGCGCAAAGACAAGAAAATGTATACTTTACTGACTGTGTTCATGGAACAGATCCCCGGAGGCGGCGTGGGCCAATTCAACGCCTGCACGGATCAGTACGGAGCGCCGGCCAACGGGTGGGGCCAGCGGTACGGCGGCGTCAGCTCCCGGGCCGAGTGCGACGGGTTCCCGGCCAAGCTCAAGACCGGGTGCTACTGGCGCTTCGACTGGTTCAAGGGTGCCGATAACCCGAGCGTCTCCTTCCGTCAGGTGACTTGCCCGGCGGAGATTACCAATAAGAGCGGCTGTAGGCGCCAGTGATGACCCCGGGGGAACGCAATCCGCTCCCGTCCAAGTTCCGGTGCTGAAAGTTGACTTGGATCTGTTCCGCGAGTTTGGGGGTCACACTGGACTGGCCTTGGAGATTGGAGCACGTATGATAACTTTACTACGTCCGTAGCTCCAAGCCATTATGCCATCTGGAATCAATGGCCAAGAGATGTACCTGAGCGACCTAGGGCTAGAACACCTGGGCAAGCCTTCTCACTTCGTAGCCTCGCAGGCTTTAGTGCTAATTGTGACTGAGAGATCCTTCTTAGCGAGCTTACAGAGTCAAGACATCCAGTTCATGCAAGGGTTGAAAACAGTCCATCCAAGAGGCCCATCTTATGTAGGTGGTGGCGATACATGAACACAAGCGAGCAGATTGGCCCCGTCCGCCGTGAATCTCTCGTAGCGTAGCTAACCAGACGTATGGATCTCGCAACATAACAAAAGCATACTTCCTCTAGCCATTTCTTTGCCTCCTGTGATGAGCATTGCCAAGGTTGGCTGTACTTCGTGGCTGTGTGCTGGGCAGGTAACAGGCACCGTCGTGCCTGGCGTTTCTGAGGCCATGGCATTACGGATGATAAGAAGCCAAGCCAGAGCCAAGATATTCACCTGAGAATTAAATCTTGCCCAAGAATCCTCAGCAATCTCGACACAGCCGCAAAAGGCGAACATCTCCCATATCGTGGAATCCGCCAACGTTGTACAGAAGACGCGCGGTCAAAAACAGGGTTCAGTGGCAGCCCGTCAAAAGATTCCTCTGGTGTTGCCATTGTTCTCGGGCGTATCAGTGTCGCAGCCAGCCTAGATGCTTTGACGAATCACACGACAGACTAGTACGTGACGTAGAGGGTCGATCGGCTTTTTGTGCCGGTTGAGACACCAGAACGGCGCCAGACCGCCGCGGCCGGGAGCCTCCAGATTGCCGAGAGCGGCGCTGGGAGACCAAGGGCGGCTGTCCGGCATCTTCGGCTGACATGGACGGAGTCAGGGTGATTGGTGAAGAATTGATTATTCAGATTGGTGAAGCATGCAGCATTCCGGACGAGACCAGATCAGTTTCGCCGGAAAATGTATTCTCTACCGGCAAGGGTAGAGCAGTGAAATTACCAACCGTAGGTGTGGGAGATGGCCCCTGTCCCTGTGGATCTGACCCAGGGAGCAGCCAATGTTTCAATGACGTCTGCTTGGGCACCCGCGTTTGTGAGGGGAACCAAGCGCTGGTACTCCCCATGTACCTTTGCTTCAGGGTGCCTAAGTCCGGACGCCGGAGGAAGTTTGCAGAGTAGCATCGCGACGACAAGTGGGAAAGCCAGAAAACCGAATGGTAAGCTGGGTGATTCCGAATTGATCAGCGACGTGATTGCAGACATGGTGTCTCTGAGAGGCTTATTGCCATCTGAAGACATAGCAAACGTGATGAGGTATGAAGTCGGGATGCCAAGAGCGGGCGGAGGACTAGAAGGGAAGGGTCTGGTCGCTAGAAGCTTTTCCCGCTAATTGACTTGCAGCGGGAGAAACATCGTAGGATGCCGAGTGCTGTTGTTGGTGCCGGCCAGTATCCATCCCGATTCGGTAGAGCGAAAGGCACTGGCCCTTGTGGAGGGAGGATAGCAGCACGCAGGCCACGCAATGTGCGCTTCCCATGGTCGAGCGCCAAGTGGGCGGTCTGAGAGTGCGCGTCCAGGCTATTGGCGGCCATATGCAGTCGAGCGTCTTGCAGCGGTGCTGTTTAGTAAAGGCGTCGATTTGAGCCGCACACCAGCAATCTGGCGTTGTACTACGTGCGAAAATGGTACGATGTTATGCTGTGCCTTGGAGCAATGATGCAAAGCCGCCCATGTTTTTTTTTCTTTTTTTTTTTTCGCTCCAAAAAACCTGCCAACCCCGTGGTGCTGGGCAGGATACTCCCTGAGAAGCATATTGCGCATTTTTGATATCGAGTGAAGCGCCATACATGTTTAACGACCGTCGATCGTATAATAGAGAGCCACACGAAAGGTGCCGTCAGACCGGGAGACCCGACAGAGTGAATGCCGAGAACGACCGGGCGGGCATGGTCGAGCTGTCACGCACATCGGCTCGTGCAAAACGTCTGGAACTGTCGGCACAACTTGCCCATGACTGGAGACCGGGCCCGTGTGGTGGGAGAAACTCAAAATCCCAAGTGGAAAAGGGGGAGGTGTGAGAGACTGCGTGCGATGCGACGAAGCTAGGAGGAAAATCTCACCGTCGAGTACTGGTCGTAATCAGATCGGACATCATGGTACGGATACCGGCGTTGCAGGTGATGGACCAGAGAAGATTCGATAACTCTGTTGGTCAATGTGAACGGAGGGATGCTGGCGTCCGTATCCGAAGGCGGCGGCGGCAATGCCTAGAGCAGTTGGTGATCCTTCTGATTTTCCCTCTTTCTCTTCCACGCTAAGACACGCGGGTACGTATTCGCCTGCCATTTTAGCGGGAGTGAATCAGAAGGAGGCCACGAATCGTACCCCGGATGAGAAGACTAGGAAGATGATTCTCCTGAGGCCATCAATGTGGAACGGGCCCATCATGTTAGCCTATGAAGTTTCATAGCTAGTGAGAGAAAGGCAGAAGGAAAGCGGGTGCAATAGTGAATTGAGCCGATCTGGCGAGGATGGGAAGCGGGAGCCGGCACGGGGGGAACTGGGTAGGTCGTTGAAAGATCAGACAAGCTTTCGAGGGAATCGAGGCAACGAAAAAGCTTAGCCATGATGACATGCGATCCGATGGGCGTCAGTCGAGGGATTGGGCTGGGGATGCCGTGTATCCGTGGGCGTGTGATGTGCAGGCTAAGACGGCACGGCGGGGGACATGTAATGAGACTGTTTTACTTTTTCCTTTGATGGTTTGTGGCATGCGGTGACCGACACCAACGGCAAGAGCGGCACAACAATGATTGATTTGCAGATGGAAACGGCTGTGGTTTGCCCATTTTCTTTCTGTATGCGTATCAACGTCGAATACTAGTCGCGCGAGCAAATGCAGGGCTGCAGGTACAGGGTCTTTGAGACTATTTGGGGCCAAGTATAGTATAGATAATAGCCGCTATGGTGGTTGAAATTGATGTTGGTTTTATCTGCCCGCCGGCATCCCGTAATAGTTGTGTGGGCGTTTGTGGTCAGTGGTGGTTGTGTCGTGATAAGAGTTCGGTTCTTCGGCTCCTCGAATGCGCTGGGATGATGTAGTTGGAGTTGGTGCGTGTCGGGCCTCGATACACTACACGCGCAAGCGATGAATTCCATGCTGTGCGGGGCATTTGGCTGAGGTGAGCAGGTCCCGTGAACCGTCAAAGGAATGGGAAGTCAGAACCGATCTGTTGATGTCCATTTCCAGTGGTAGACGAAAAGACTCTAGGATCCCGTCTAGAGATAGATTCAGAGTCAGAAGGGAAGAAGCACACAGCAACAATTGGAAGTGCCTTGCATTCATTTATTAGGTAAGGTGTGTGTGTGTGTGTGCGAGGTAGGTATCTGAGGTACATCGGCAGGTACTCGCAGGTACATGTCTTCTCTCCCGTTTCCCTTACTTCCGAATGGTCCGCCGTGTTTCTCTTGCCTCGCCCAGCTTGGGATGTTGTACCCTACCTTACCTACAGTTGTGCTCGCTCTGAAGCGTGAGTTGTGAGGTGTGGTCGACGGCCTCCTGAGTCCTGACTGGCTACCAGGGGAACTTTCAACAGTCTCCATCGCGATCCACTCCCCCTTCTCTGCCAGCCTATCCGTACGGTGCCGCACTTGCGGACCAACTGGCTGCATCTTTGCGTCCAATTCCATCCGCGCATCATGAGAGTCTCCCGACTGTCTTGACTCTGTTACCGCACTTGCACCGTATTCGACCTGGAGCGCTCTCCAGTCAACTGGTGTCCACACTCTGCTGTTCATGTTACTGATTGGTACTTGATGCCACTTCTCACAGGTCGTTGTCAAGTACATCATGCAACGCCCATTTCCCATTGGAATCAACAAAGCAGAATTCAGCCCGTGTATTGAAGGATGTATCCCGTAGACGCCGGCCGGAACGCCAGCAGAAACGACTAGGCACGTAGCTCACTAACGGTGTGCGGTGGCCACGGGCAATGGAAGATGAAGCAGCTCAACAGCCAACCAAAGGTACATCAAGAGTACCTGGTCTTCCTTCTCTGGGACAGGCGGGTAGCGACAACGAGGACGAGGACAAGTGCAAGTGCAAGTGCGAGGACAGGGCAGGGAGGCTGTGCATCAGTTCCCTCGCCCCTACCTTTCTTTACATACAATGTCTGGCAAGGTGAGGTATGCACAAAGTACCTTGCGACTTGCTTCTTAGTGCCCGACGCTGCACCTCGCTGATGATCCGATACCTCCAATTTGGCTACGGATACTTCTCCCGTCCTCGTCATTCTTGTAGGTATGGAGTACCTTTCGTACCTCCTGCCCCATGCTCCAGCCATTCGGTCCTCAGTCTGGCTGCCCGGTCGTTCAAAAGTCATCCACCATGCCACCCGGCCACCACCCTTCTCTCTCTCAAAACTGCCCCAACACCACCACCATACATAGACACACACACTCTTCACAGTACACACCCGATTCCCACACCCAACCCTCTCACCCCCCCGACCTGGAACCCGAACCTGAACCTGGACCTGGACCTGACCTTGCTTTCCCTTTGACCTGTTCAGTGTGTACGAATACAGAGCGCACCTGCAGCAAGCGCACTGGGAACGACCTGACCTGAACCCCGCTTGGCATTGAAAATCGCGCCTGCCCCAGCTCGCTGACCTCCCATTCAATCGCTTCTTCCTCAGCTCGCCTTTTGATCACCTTCCGCTTGTCATTTCACCAATCTCATCCCTTTCGCCTCGGATCGCGACTCGACCTTGTCCTCGTGCATTCACATCGTAGCCTTCGCCTTGAATCGACTCACTACACACTGCTACTTCCCGTTTGCCATCTTCAGACCGAGTCAACCTTGAGTCCCGTAACCAAGTCCCCGACGACACCGATTTCCCGGGCATTTCCGCCTCGCTCGTTCGTTGGTTATCCCACCTGAGAGCTGGTGTTCATTCCACTTCCCGAGCAGCCACCCACGATTTATTCACACCAGGTTGATGGTTTCAATGCCCTCAACCCGTTCGTTGAACATGTGAGGGAAGCATGTGTAAGTCATTATATGCCATTTTTATTTTCTTCACAATATACACGATAGAAAATCATGCCTCTGGTCATCTTGCCCATAGTAAGCAGGTGAACGCTTGCTGTGCTTTCTCTCTTTTTCGCGGCGGCCAAGAGGTGCCAAAATCCCCCGGTCTTGGCACAACTCACTGACGTCTCACAGCTCTCGAACAGATTCGAAATGTCGTGTATGTCTTAGCAAAACTCCTTTTAGATGTCCGCTCCTTTCGATGCTATCGTCCCCGTATCCCTCATTGATGCGCACGCTTCCTCGCTGCTTTCCCGTTGACTCCTTCATCGTCCCGTCGCATCACGTTGCTGCTGCCTTGGCCCGCGTCACTGTGCCTCGCAGCGCCTCTGTGGGCAGACCTTGGCGCGAATGCCTCACCACCCGCATTTCCCCAACCACGTGCGTAGCTTCAACCACCAACTGACCTTCACACAGTCTGCTGTTCAGTAACCCTGTTTGGTCGGGTGCAAACACCGTTCCCTCGACTCTCATCAAGAACATAACATCTCTGTCGGTATGTCTCGTTGCCATCCTTCTTATTTCAGGTCTTGATCTAAATCAAGTGCACAGAGCAAGGTAGCCTACCAGGACACCATCACAGCAAACCTCACCACGCTGAGTACGACGAATACCGAAACGCAGGATGGCATCATCCGAGGTCTACTATACGTCCCCGATCTCAGCGTCACAAACCCGTGTTTCGAGCAGCAGTACGACATAATCCCCCGAAATGCCACTACACAGGCAGAACTTCCTCCTACCAACTATAACCTAATTGCCATTGCGCCATGGTTTAATGCGACCTGCACCAAGGCCTATCTTGCATCCGCACGCCTCGATCCCATCCGCGCCTTTATCTTTTACCGGCCCAACAATTCGACGAATGAACCACAGGGCGCTGATTCCCCGATATGGGATCTTGAAGATGGCGATGCATGGCGAACCCAGAACCGTTTCCCGATTTTCGCCGTGCCAGGCGCCGAGGGCACCAAATTTATGAAGCAGCTTAGCCTGTATTCTGGGAATATCTCCGAAATCCCCTATGGAGAGGAAATCCAGGAGATCTACGACCCCCACGATAATGATTACGTCCGCATATGGACAGAGCTGACGATCAAGGATCGCGACAGTGTCCCTGCCATGTGGACATGGATTCTCACGGTGGTCGGCGTTGTGATATTCATCATCGCCTGTCTATCACTCACGATGCACCTAGTACAAAGAAGACGACGAATTTCACTACGAAGGAGGGTACTGAGCGGCGAGGTTGACTTGGAAGCGATGGGAATCAAACGAGTGACCGTACCCGTGGATCACGTCAAGGGCTTCCCACTTTTCACCTACAGTTTCCAGCCTGAAATAATCAGCACACCTTCTACCACAAGGCCACCCAAATCCGTAAGGTCACCGCGAAGCATGCGGACCGATCAGCGAACAGTATCCGAATCTGCCGTCCCGAGATCGAGGGCCCGAAGAGCTAGCGTCAACAGCTCAAAAAGCACCGTCGCCACGAACTATCAGCCCCAGTGCCACATTTGCTTGGAGAATTATGTCGACCGGGACTCCGTCATCCGCGAACTGCCTTGCGGTCACATCTTTCACCCCGAGTGTATCGACGAGTTTCTAAGTCTCAACAGCTCACTGTGCCCAATCTGTAAGAGGAACATGCTCCCACCGAACTACTGTCCCAAGATTACCAATGGTATGGTACGCCGTGAGAGGGCCATTCGACGATTGAGGGAACGGGTTGTATTTGACGAGTCAGACGACGAGGAGGGGGAGGTGAAAAGCAAGCGTTGGGGCAAGCGGCTATTCGGCACGGACAAAGCGGCATCATCCCCGACAGAAACGCCTATGACGCCCGTTCTGACTTCCAAGTCCCCGAAAACAGTCCAGGAGTCAGCAAATGTCGATACTGCTGTGGATCTCGAGGCTGCACCCCTGTCCACTACACAACGTGCCCTCGAACCGACCCAAGAGGAGCAAGAAGATTCAGACCAACCCTCAAGCCCATCCGAAGCTCAAGACCCGCCACATTCGCAACCTCAGCCGCCCAGACAAGCTGCTGCAGCTCCGGCGACTCATCAGAACAGACGCTGGAAAGCAGGTGGATTGCGGCTCCATATGCCTGGATCAGACTCACATCAGAACCATCCACGGCCTGAAGGACGTAAGAGCCCATCTCAGTTGGCAAGAGCGCGAATGAGAGCGCTCGCTGGTACACCTTTCGACGACCCAGATGGTCGCAATCCAGCGTGTAAGTACAAACTCTATGCGAGACCGAAAATATCTTCTGACCTTGATTGCAGGGAAACGTTATGTCGTTAAGGTTTTCCCGGGATTTTCATGACAGTTGCATGCACTGGAAGCATGTCATCAAATTCGGAGTTGCATGGTGTAATGGCGTTTAGGGTCAGGCAGGAGGGGACTGCCTTTGGAACTTTTAACAGGCAAGCAAGGGAATATCACGATGCATATCTATGACACTCCCTGGAACCCACCTCTGAGGGAGGTGGTGAGGAGACTTTCACTTCACAATCACGACGATAGACTCGGTGGGCTCGGAATTGCCCTCGGATTGCTACATTTTGGCACGGAACGTTACTCTTGGGCTGCTGTAAAGAGCCCAAGCTTTTGGACTGGATATACCCCATCGGCACGGTTAAGCATCAACGGCGATTTGGAGGAGGGTATGAAACGAAAAAGTTGCGTAGGAATCAGTGACGGCAGCTTTGCACTGCTCAGACTAGGTAGTCTTGCGTCGTCCAGACAGCGGGCAATGAAATCAAAACTTGAGACCTGTCACGGTCTAGAAAGACAAGCATGTTCTACTATATACCGTGAGTGCGACTTCCCTTAAAAGCCATATCCCGTTAAGGCCAGTCTTTTGCGTGTGTAAAGCCCGGGAAACCCACCATATACCCTCAGTATGACAAGAAGTATCCAAATCGGACCCGTTCTATTCAATTTGTCTTACAAAATACAAGACTGCTCCACACGTGGTATTTTCGCTATTGTCGTTTCATCCGAATCATGGTATATGCCAGCTTTCATCTCATTTGTTTCGCCAAGCCGGGCCAACTGATCGTCTCAAGCACTTTCAGTTATGCATCATAAACACCCGAAATCTTAACTTTCATCCAGTGGCCATGTCTCGGCATTTCCATTTGTTTGCCGTATTCTTTCTCCTTCCACCATTCTCTACCTTTCCTCATTATGAACGTCCCTCAATGAGCTTGTCATCCTCTTTTGTCCCTCCTCTGGCCAACGCTTCGCGAATACGGTCGTTTTCGGCGGCGCGAATCCGCTGACGAGCATCCTCAAGTCGTTCGACTCCACGGTCGATAGTCTCGATGTGGACCGTCAACGGAATTGCTATGGTCGAATCACGCACAAGCTCGGGAGCGGCAACGCGGTCACGGAGGTCACCCAGCCCCGCCTGGATCTTTTCAAGGTCCACGATAAGAGCCGATATTTGCGCAACAGCAGTGACGCGCTGTCTATCCACCTGGCGCAGGAGGGAGAGCTGAGCGTTGAGGTTATGCAGGCGTTTGTTATTCGCACCGACAAGAGTCCACAACGTCCAGAGAACCTCGTCTCGACGGGATTTGACCGAATTCGACGAGCGGGTGACAATTTCGTAAATCTGGTTCAGGTTTTCCTCCGCCTTTGTGAGTAGAAGCAGAACTCCTTGCGCTTCTACTATGAGAGAGGAGATCCGGTCAGAGACGAGGGCGGTGTGCTCGATGTATTTGTCGAGAAGCGTCCGTTCGGAGAATGGCGTGACTGTGGGAGTAAAGGGGTAGAAGAGCCAACTGGACCACTGGGAAACCAGTCCCACATCTGTCGTCTCTGATGCAGAGAGAGTGTCAAGATAGCGAGATGTCCAACGGTTAATCGAGATAACGGAGTCGACAGCGGATCCCACATGAACGTTGAACTTTTGTAAGTCAGAGGCCGTCAAGCGGGCGGTATCGATGTACTCGTTGAACTCATACACAAGCTCGTCTCGCTGTGGCAATTCCGAGTACCGAACCATGGTGCGTAGGTCGCGTATCGAAGACTCTGAACGCTTCATTTCCATTGGTAACGATACGCCGTCGGCACTGCGCTCGAGGACTTGCTCGAATTGTGACTGAACATTCATGAGGTCGTCAAACTCAACGTTGGCAGACTCAGACCCTGACTCTTTGCCTTCGCCTGGTGCAGTAGTGAACGAAGGGCAAAACGGGAGGTCTAGGTATGCTGCGCCCGGGATACGGCAGAATGGCGAGAGCGATGTTGTAATTGACTTGGTGACCATATTTTGAAGCATTATGGAGGCGCCAAAGAAGAGCCAGACTGCCAGACATAGCGCCAGTGGCTTTTGGATATAACCAAGGGCCATGCCGATGACGTTGAAAATCCATGCCAAGATGTTGAAGGCCGCACTTGGAAGAGACTCTGACAGGCGCTCCGTGACGGTCTTGAGCTCAGCCGGTTCATTGTAGTAACCCCTCATTCTTCTGGGGTCGCCACGTCTGGCAGATGTAGGACTTCCAGTGCTGGCTTGGCGAATCGCACGACGCCGCACGTCCTGCTGCTGATATGAGACGTCGCTGGGGCGGATGGTCCGAGAGGAGTGACCGCTACTGTGTTGAGTGTTCGCCCCAGTCCCTGAAGTAGAACTGAAGCGCATGGATGGCATGATGAACTCCGGTTCGGGAGAGCGGTTTGGGTCTCGTCGTACAGTGGGTTGAAATGGCGAGCGAAGGATGACTCGCTCATCGTCCGCTTTGTTCATGAAATCTTGAACGCTGTGGTGCGACTCTTGAGAGCCGCCGATGCTGAATGACTGCGACGGAAGTTGTGACGGCTCCGTCAGGAAGCCATCGTCCTCCTCCAGGTCGTTGAGAATGGACGTGTCGAAGCTGTCATTTTCGCCGCCTTCCACCAAACGCCAAGAACTCTCGACGGGTAGGTCTTGTTGGCGATGTGCAGGCATCGTGCCTGATGATATCGGTGAAGCCTCGAGGTCGTGGCTGAGAGGGTCGTTTTCTGAGTCTCAACCAGACAGGGAAGAGTATTGTGTCGTGTCAAGAGATGGTGTTCCGTCCATGGGCAAGTCAATTATTTACTACTAGATTTTGGAGTGTAGATGATCTCGCGACGCGCCGAGCGCGTAGAGTGGCGAAGTTCACCGCAAGGCTTGGGACGTCGTAGCTGCCTTGATATAAGGCACAATAATGTTGATGATTCCGGATATTATGTCCGTACTAGTGAGTCATTCGACGGGAGCTAGTAACAGAAACGGGTACAACGGTTGTTGGCCAAGAATAGGCAGAGACAAAGGACGATCAAGGCTTGTTGATGTTTAGAGAAGGTTAACAGACGTCCCAAACATGTCAACCTCTGGCGTCATAGGCTCCAGCATCTGCCCCTTGCATGCGCAGCAGCTGTCGTGGGGGACAGCTTCAGGTGGGTAGCTTCTCCGCTGAATCCGCTGAAATGGCAGCAGCAGGGACCATGTGGCAGCGTGACTCGACATTTGATAAGCTTCGCTTCCCCTTGTCGTCACATGGACGTCCAGCGATAAGAAGGGCGGGAAGGGGCGCAGCACGGTAACACCCCACGCCTCTCCTGCCAGAACGGATCCCGGTGAAACATAATACCGGGGATCCGGGGGAAGGCATGACGGGTGGAAGGGACGGGACCTGCAACCACGACAGTGAGGTGGATACTGATGCTTTGCCCCACTTGGCTCCGGCGCGATTCCACCACCCACTTGAGGAAAATGGCCGTCACCTCTACCTAGCCTCGCTTTCTTTCAACGCCCGAACAAACTCCTCGAACATTCACCAATCGAGAATCGCGTCGCGCGCGCCGGAAAATCACTCATCGCCATTCATTTGCGCACAAATTGCCCACGATGTCGACTGGAATGGATCAACGCGAGCTTGAGTCCTGCATCAAGCAGCTCAATAAGGTCGTACAGGCCAACGAGCCTCCTGCGACTGCCCTTGCTCTCCTCGAACGACTGAAGAAGGAGGCTGCCCCTACGGAGGAGATGCTTCGGGTACGTTGCGGATTGCACTGTTTTTATCCTCATGCGTGGTTTTGGCATATATCTGTCCACCTTGTCTGCTATTGCGACGAAACGTAACTGACCTCGTTTGCACTCGACCAGTCTAGCAGAGCGGGTGTCTTCGTCGGCAAGCTTCGCCAGAACTCGAACAAGGAAATTGCTCGCGCCGCTACAGAGCTCGTCCACAAGTGGAAAAAGCTGGTCGAAGCCGAGAAGCAGGGCAAGATCAAGAAGGGATCATCTCCGGCTGCTCCGTCGCCAACCCAGGCCCCGGCCCCGAAACCGTCCTCGTCGTCTGCGCTGAACCAACCCTTCAAGGGCAACACCGAGGCTCGCCGCGCTAAAGCCGATGGCGCCGAAGTGAAGCGCACTAATGACGCTGTTCGCGATTCCTGCATCGAACTCCTCTACAATGGCCTCGCATACCGATCCACTGCTTCCGTCAACGATGTTCTGAACAAGGCCATCGAGGTTGAGTTGGCTGCCCACAGCCATTTTAAGGGTGTCACCAAGGAGTACCGTGAGAAGCTGCGCTCCCTATTTAGCAACCTTAAGGTCAAGAGCAACCGCCAGCTTGGCGTCAATGTCATGGAAGGCAAGATCACTCCTGCTCGATTCGTGGTCATGACCCACGAGGAGCTCAAGTCGGAAGAGCAGAGAAAGAAGGAGGATGCTCTGCAGCAGGAGAACATGAAGAAGGCCCAGGTTCCCATGGCTGAGAAGAGTATCAGCGATGCTCTCAAGTGCGGCAAGTGTGGCCAGAAGAAAGTCAGCTACAGTCAGGCGCAGACTCGCAGTGCTGATGAACCGATGACAACATTCTGCGAGTGTACCGTATGCGGTAACCGCTGGAAGGTTTGTTGGCCATTATTTGACTCTCTTTGCCGACTATGCTGACTAAGTTTCAGTTCTCTTGAGCGTACGATTCTGGAGAGGAAGTTTCGATTTTTTCAACTGACGGCGTGATTTTCACTTATACCCCGTTATTGAAGCACGGGATGATGGTCCTGCATTTGGCACTCGGGAGTGCGGGCTTGGTTGGTATGGAGTTGGGGAAGAGGAAAGGTCCTCTGTATTTTCTCCTTTATTGATTCTTTTTGCTCTGCCCTTGAACATAAAAGCTTCGGGCATCAGACGCATGT